TTTCACAGAGACCACCAACCTGAAAGTGGGAGAGGGAATAAAGTAATTCACACCCTGAAGACTTTGGTCTTACACAGCAAAATAGCAACATTCCAGGGTTCTGACCAACACAGCCTGGCACTCAGTCTGCAAAATACAAATGATCATTTGATGGTTTATGTGAGAACATGGTCTTAGTTAGCCCCAGTGCCAGAGGACTTCATGACAGAGAGGATCTGCATGTTTCCCAAGCTCTCAATAGGAATAAGGAAATAACTGAAAGAGAGCTCCATAGGGGGAGGCCTATCAACAGGGGTGAAAAATGTCCAAGTATCAACTGGTCCAGATGGAGAGCTGAGAAAAAGCTAGGATTATATATACCTCCATTAAGCCTAGAGGATCTACAGCCAGATTTACTTCTTCTGACTACTCTGGTCTAAATGATTGTGTCTCTTCAAAATATATAAGTTGAAGCCAAATCTCCCATGTGACAGTATTAAGAGACAGAGCCTTTGGGACATAATAAGGTCATAAGGGTGGAGCCCTCACAAATGATTTTAGTGTCCTTATCAAAGATATCCCACAGGCATTAACTAGCACTTTCCATGTGAGGACGTAGCAGGAAGGTGCTGTGAGAAATCAGGCCCTCACTAGACTTCAAATCAGAGGATGCCTTGATCTTGGACTTCCCAGCTTCCAAAACTGTAAGAAATACATCTCTGTTGTTTATAAGCTATCCAGTGTGAGGTATTTTCATATAGCTGCCTAAATGGACAAGGACAGATTCCAAGAGTTGTTATTTCAAGAAGTACTGGAAGATACATGCAACTTGGGGAGCAAAAGAAAAAATGATACTTGGAAATAGAAGTTAAATTATTTCTGAAGTATGAAGATTATATTTCTTGCAAACCTGAATTTAACCTTTGAGCTTCATATCTGTTACTTGATTGATAAGGTAACAAGGAACATCGACATACTTAAAATTCTGAAAGATTTGGGAAAGATTTTATTTAGTTTATTTTTTTTAAATATTTATTTTTTAGTTGAAGTTGGACACAATATCTTTATTTTATTTATTTATTATTTATGTGGTGCTGAGGATCGAACCCAGGGCCTCACACGTGCTAGGTATGCACTCTACCACTGAGCAAAACCCCAGTCCGCCCCTTTTAAAAAAATATTTATTTCTTAGTTGTAGTCAGTTGTTTAATTTATTTTATGAGTATACATCTTAAAAGTAAGGGGGAAAAGATTTCAATATCATTTTGGTCCAATCCTAGTAAAGCATTTAGCATCCTCTCTTTGTCCCCTTTTAACTGCTGTGTCGCAATACTGATGTATATCTTAGGCATTATATTGGAAGTATTTCATATTGCATCACATCAGAGCTGACCTAATGTCAAGTTTTACCACCATTTGATTCCTTGGTTAATGTGGGTATGACCAGGCCTCTCATTCTATAGACACATTTCCCCTTGACAGTGAGTGAGTCATCTGTGGGTTTAGCCTCTCCTGACTCCATCCATTCTTCCTTCCTTCTCCACTGTGGTTCCTGACCAGGTGCTTACCTCATAGTTTATCTACTTTAAGCTTCCTTTCTTAAAAGTCTACTTCAATAAAACATGGGATTGCTATAATAATTCAGTGACTTAATATGTGCAAAACAAGTTTGTAAATTGCACAGTGGTTACAATTGTAAGCCAAGTTTATTCCTATAGAGCAGAAGTTTCAGATAGTGCTCTGAGAAGTCCATTCTGCGGATGCAGTGGCACTCTGGTACGTGCTTAAAAACTAGCTCAAAATGAACCCTGATTTTGCAATACCATCCACTTCTGCATTGTTAATACTCCCACCCTGGCTGATTTCAAGCTAGCAACATTATGCCAATTAGACTGAAAAATTCCAGAATTTTAGCAATCAGTTATTTCAGAGCATAAAGAAGAGAGCTCCAAGGGCTAGGGTTGTGGCTCCGTGGTGGAGCACTTGCTTAGCACATGTGAGGTACTGGGTTTGAACCTCAGCACCACATAAAAAAAATAAATAAAATAAAGTTATTTTGGAGGAGGAGGGAGCTCCAGAATGAAAAGAGAGGCAAGGTTACCAAATTTTGCAAATAAATATTTGGAATATAGTTAAACAGCTAAAACTGAAACAGTAGGTCTATATGAATTTAGGTGGATATCCTGAATTTTATCTGACAGTTCTGTAGAGGACTGGTGTCTGTGTGTGTGTGTTTGTGTGTGTGTGTGTGTAGAGAGAGAGAGAGAGAGAGAGAGAGAGAGAGATAGGGGAGAAAGAGGGAGAGAGAAGGAATTTTTTTCTAGTGTGTTGGGGGTATAAATGAGGGCTCTAAAAAGGTCTATATTTCCATATTCACTCTAGCCTCCACCAGGGAGCCTCTGCTTTCACTGGATTGATATATAGTTTCTTTTCTCCATTGTCTTTTGTTTGGACAGAGAAATGTTATGGGAAAATATTCCCATTTTTTTTACTTCATCTTAACACTAAGTCCTCTGGTCAAAAAGAGACTTTGACAAGCAGAATTGAAAAGTTAAAAGTAGCAAATGAAACTCTTTTGAAATTCTACATTATTTAAAGAGGATTTCTACCTTGATCAAACTCAGTTCCAACACTTTCAAAAGTTGAGTAAGAAAAATCCAGTAGTATTTTAAAAGATTTTAAAAGATTGGGAATTAGAATTTTATTTAGGTTTATTTATACTTTGGTTGTATGTAACTCCTTTAAAGAGGGCCTATATTTAGGTAAAGTAGTTCCCTTTAATGTGTAAAATAAGCTTACAACTGATTGCCTCTAATTGCTATATTCGGGTAGGATATACTCTGTCCATATATTTATATTAAATATTATATTAAAGATATTTACTTTTATAGTGGGAAGAACAGAAAGAAAAATCACTTTTGCCACATTGTTGTAGTTTGAGTGTGCTTGTTCTCCATAAGAAGAAATATATGCATAAGACTGAATGATCTATTTATTTGTTTGTTTGCTTGTTTGTTTTGGTGGTGCTGGGGATTGAACCTAAGGCCTTGTGCATAAGACTGAATGATTTACCAAGGATACCTGTAAGTCTAGGGCTGTCATAACAAATACTCCACAGTGTGACTTAACCATCAGAAATTTATTTTCTCATGCTGTAGTCACTGGAAGTCCAAGACCAAGGCATTGGCAGCTTTGGAGTCTCCTGAGGCTTCCCTCTTTGGTGTGCAGATGGCTGCCTTCTGTCTGTGTTTTCACCTGCCTTTCCTCTGTGTGTGCATCACCGGTGTTTCTTTGTTCCAATCTCTTCCTATAAAGACATCTGTCAACCCCAATGGCCTCATTTTAATTTAACAAACCCTTTGAAAACCTTATATCCAAATACATTCACATACTGAAGTACTGGGGATTAGGACTTGAACATATGCATTTGGAGGGCACAATTCAGCAAATAACAGCGTCTTTCTTTATGAAAGTCTATTAAGTTGTAATATATATTTCTAATTCTTTCTCATCAGGAAAACCATCCATATTTGAATAATGCCAGTACACACAGAATCGGATCACCCACCCTTTTGTCAAAGCTTGCCACCCTCTTCTTCTCTTGTTTAAATGTACAAGCAGAAGTCTGTTTCTTCTCCGAATTCATCTACCACCTTTTACAACTTGATCTCTCTAGTCCAGTGTCCTGAACTGCTATGACAGGTTTCTTCATTAAATGTTTATATGCCTGCTGTCTCTCAGTTGGCAATATTCTTCTTACTACTGTCTCCCTTCCTTCAATTCTTCTTCAGTCAGATGTGACTTCTCATAACAACTTCCCTACAACTATCTAATTTATAGTCCTCTAACCTGATGTTCCTTGGCTTATTGTATTCGCTGTAGCATTTATTACTAATAAATTTTATACTTTATTTACTGATCTTGTTTATTATCTGTTTCCATCACAAGTATACATAATAGATATTTGTCTGCTTTGATGACTGATGTATTCTTTCTATTTAGAATATTGTCTGGAAAATTGCTGATGCTCAATAAGCACTATGAACAAAATGAATGAAAGAACACTGTGGTTCAATTTAGATTCATCTTCTTTCAAGTTCTCTTGTTTTTACTATGAAAAGAGGCAATGCAGTCCAGTGATCAAGAGCACAGGCCTTGGAGGCACAAAGAATTTGGCTGCTCTGCCTGCCAATGGCTGATCTTAAGTCTTTTCCATCCAAGGTTAACTCATTGAAACTGAAATTAATTACCTTCTTAAAAAGAGTAATGAGATTAACTGGGTTAAGTGGTTGGCAGGATGATAGATATGTTTTTATTCTAAACCCTGAAAGCTCAGAGAAAGGGCTTCAGTTGTGGCTCAGTGGTAGAACTCTTGCCTAGCATGTGTGAGGTATTGGGTTCGATTTTCAGCACCACATACAAATAAATAATAAATAAAAAAAGGACCCGTCAACAACTAAAAAATTTTTTTAAAAAGCTCAGAGAAAGATGGTTACAATTGATTAACCAGTTCTGCTCTGGAAAGGATGGAGGTGGGAGATATCATAAATGCCAAATGAACCCAGATTCAAATAATCAGTTCTTATGATCCTCAGGTCAAATTATGGGGTTTTTATTTCTAATTTTATTTATAGAGATTATCTTTGAAAGCTACAATATTATGACAATTTGTGTAGATTATTTTGGTTTCAAAACTGAAAAGTGAGTTAAAAATCAGTAATTTTGTTTCTTTTTAAATATTTTTTAGTTGTAGTCGGACACAATACCTTTATTTATTTATTTTTATGTGGTGCTGAGGATCGAACCCAGGGCCTCACACATGCTAGGCGAGCACTCTACCACTGAGCCACAACCCCAAGCCAGTAATCTTGGTTTTACTATCATTAATATCCTTTTTTGATGGTTAAATATTCTGTTGTCATTTCTTTGCCCATTTTTGTCTTGCATTTTCAAACATTTCTTAGAGCGTAGTATGAGTTGGAAGGGATCTCTAAAGTATTCTGTTTATATCCTTTTCTAAGGGAGGAAGGGAAAGTTCAGACTGAGACTTGCTACTAGAAGACCAGGAACAGATATGAAATGCAGAAGAAATTAACACATCTCACCCCAAGAGCTCCGGAAAGTGGATGCATTTCAGGAGATTGGCTGAATGAATATACCTTGTCTGCTGCAAGTTCATATTACTGAAAGGATCTTTGCCTGGAAACCCAGTTCTTCCCATTATACCACTCTGATTGTTCTCTTTACTAATGATGGATTACAATCTTTCTAATGCTAGACCTTGGTCTCCCACTGAGAAAGTGCCTTGGGGTGCTTAATCCTGTCCTGGTAACAGTATGGACTTAAATGGTGCTCTAAGATTCCTCCTGATTTAAATTGACTTGCATTTGTGAGACCACATTTGAATTTGTAACCTAACAAAGAGCCACTGACTATTTTGAAAGAACAGGACTTTCACATGATCAACCCCTCTCCTTGAAATGCTTACAAAATAATCTTTCTTCTAAGGTCTTTGTATTTCCTGAGACAAGCTTTCTTCCTCTTGCTTTTTCCTGAATGAGGAAGTACTTATAATCTCACCTCTTAAATTACATTTTAAGGCCTCACAAACCACAGTAAAGGAAGGGACAGAGTCAGCTCTAATTTCATAAACTATCTGTAAGAGAATTAATTGCAACCTGACTTATTTTTTTCTTTTCACAAAGAAGCTGTAAAGGAATCCCATAAATTTTGAAGGAGGAATAAATTCTCTCTTAAAGGAGTAAAACTGTAGTAAAATATTAAAATAGCACAAATTAAAGTTGACTGGAATCTCCTGTAAAATCAAACCAAGGAAAAGAGTAGTAAATATCACTCTGCAGAAAAATTAGTGTCTCTCCAGCAATAAAACCAACTAAAAGATTACATTTAAATATAAACTATATAAAGCCTTCTGATTCAAGATACACAAAAATGAATTCAGTCAAGTATATTTGTTAACCAAACATCTTTAGAAAACTGAATCTTCAAAGGTGATATTTATATCGTCTTACATCAAATTATTTGATATTAGTTGTTTGTCATTACTTAGGACACTATCCTCTCTACATTTTACATATAAGATTCAATTAAATCCTCATGAAACTTAATGACCTAATATTCACTAAAATATTCATATGGAGAACAATTCTTTTGAATCAAAGACCAGAATGTGAGTCTTCCCTCTGCCACTAATTGGCATGTTATTTGAATTTTCTGTATTCTGTATTCCAGCTTCCCCTGGATAGGAACAATATTTGTATTCATCCTTATAAGGATGGTGAAAAGATTATGAGTTAGTAGACATGAAGAATTTGGAGCAAGCTATGGTTTGAATACAGTTTATCCCTGCCACAACATGGAGTATTATTCTCTAGCTGTAGCAATGTTGGGAAATGGAGCCTGGTGGCAAGTGCTAGCTTCTTGGGAATAGAGTCTTCCTGAATGGAACAATCTTTTCTCAAGGGAATGCCTTAGCTATTGCAAGAAATTGGCCCTCTTTCCTCTCTTTGCATAAACCATTTGCCCTTCTGCTTTTCCACCAAACATGGAGCAGCATGAGACTCTCACCAGAGGCCCAATAGAAGACGGTGCCATGCTGTTGGACTTTCGGAACCAGAATGCAAAATAAGCCTCTTCTCTTTATTAATTACCCACTCTCTCATGTACTCTGTTATAGCAGCAGAAATAAACTTTGAATAATAGAAAACTTTTAAAAAGTTAGTCAATATTTATTGTGACAGTAACTATGAATATTATTTTGACTTACTGAAATGTTTTATTTTTAATAAGTCAGTAATATCTTTTGACCTAAGCTGTCTCATCCATAAAATTATGATTATTGTGCTAAGTCATGATTTTATATTCTTTTCCAGTTCTAAAAATTAATAATTCTGGGGCTTTAATATAAACAATCTGAAGACTTATAAATTCTACTCAAATATTTGGATAGTGCCCCCCCACCCCGTGCTACTAAAAAGTAACAACGATAGAAGTGATCTAAAATAATGGAAAGTATACTGAAGAATTTGGATAGGGGTGCAGTTATCTTTTAGACTCAACTCTAACAATGGCTACCTTTGTCATTTTGTAAAGATACATATCTATGACCTGTGAGTCTCTATAAAGTAAAGATCAAGCCTATCATTTTATACCCATGAAAAAATGAAGAATATAATGATTTTAAAAGATCTCACAGTTTTCCCCCCATGGGATTTCACAAATCCTTGTATTCTACCAACTTCTGTATACTCTAGTAATTAGGTGCCATGGGTAGCACTTAAAATGTTACCAATCAGGTTTAAAACACAAGATGTAATGTGAATTATATGCCATACCATGTTTCCCCAGAAAGCAAATTTTCTTCCAAATTAATAAAATGAGAGAAAGAGCAGAAAACCAGAGAATCTTTCAGCACTTGGGGAACAAAAATACAAGACAAGAGTTATATAACCTACAGCAAGTTTTTTGGCTAAGTTTGTAAATTTTAGTAACCTCTAATTTACATGTGCTTTCTTTGGAATTTTAAAAGTCTGCCCAATTTTGTCTGGTTTGGGAGCATCATCTCCAGAGGTCAAACAGTTCTTTTGACATATTGACAAGTTCCTCCAATCCAGTTTGATGGACTAGAGCTTCACTTTCAGACCTAACTTCATTTTTTAAACCAAATGTCCTACTGCAAACTGTAAAGATTTATGGTGAGTGATCTAGAGGTCTTCTTCCTCTGTTTAATTTGATCATAGATTTGAAAATACTAAGTGATGTGTCTCATGATATGGGTAAATTGACATCTGTAAAAAATAATTTCAGACCCTAAAAGCAGACTGAGTTTAGAACACTTAGTGAAAAAATTATTTGGCATTAATTAATTAAACATTTTTCTAATGTTTAATATTGTTTATTGTTGCCTGTTTTTTTTTGCATTTTATATTTTTGTGTTCTGCGATGAATTAAATAACTGCACATATTTTGTTTTTCTTGAGATTACCAAGGCGTGTGTATTAAATAGTTATTTTCTGTTCATTAGTTCACTGAAAGTGTTAATTTTTTTTTCTGTGTGTATTCTGTTTTGGAAGAATTGATCAATGTAAGACCATTTCTTTGGAATATAAAATAAACCACATTTATTTTTGTTTAAATATACACAAAGAAAAAAACTGATCATTTCATTCCATATTAAGGAATATATTTTTCCCTTTCTAAAAGTATTTCTAAAGTCATATAAAAATTAAAAAAAACTCCTTTGATAAATGCACAAAACCGACACATTCTTATTTCCTTGTGCTGTACATTGTATTTAGAACACTTAAATATTTGGAAACTGAAATAAAACCTATTTTTATTAATTAGTCTATTTTAACTTTTCATAGACTCATATAACGACCCCAGTCATATAAACTTATCCAGTTAAAAATATATCTCTTTTTATAGTGAAAACTATTTATGAAGGTAGATATTTTTTCGATAGTTTTTCTAGGTCTGTGCATTGTTACTTAGAAACCTAAAAAAAACTTTGGACATACTGGCAATAGTACTCTTTGCATCTTTTTCAAGTATATTATTAAAATCTTGGATTGAGGCTGTGGCTCAGTGGTAGAGTGCCTGCCTGGCACTTGTGAGGCAGTAGATTTGATCCTCAGCACCACATAAAAATAAAAATAAATATATTGTATCCATCTACAACTAAAAAAAACCAAATTTTTTTCAGTAGGTTGATATTTCTCTACCTTAATGAAGTAAAGCAAAATAAATTTAATTTATACAAATGTACTTCTAGCTTGAGAATGACAAAATATTTTATAAATACATTCTATACATGACATCCAAAATAAACTCATATTCTATATTCCCTTGTTTCATCTCTCAGAAGAAAATTATTTTGTCCTAGGTCTCATTTTCTTAGGCACCCATCCTTCTTAAGTAATTGTGATTGACTATGTTAGGTTCATAAATAACATACGCATCCTTTGAGATTTCTGAAGTCCATGGCTTTATTTAGGAAGTAGGCATAAGTTTCAAACCCTTTTCAGATCTGTTAGAAACAGTTTTGAGCAAATAAGATGTTTATTATTTTAGGAATTATATTCTATTATGAAGCTACTTGCTATTTATTATGCATTGACCTGCTCCACAGAGAACTAATATAAATGCCTTAGAGTTAGAACACGGGATGGTTTTCCAGAGCTAGTTGGCAACTCTGCCTAGGTAATGGATGTCTGAATAACAGGAGACCCATGATCATTGGTTCATACACATCAGTTGAAAGGAGATTTGGACTTGGCCCATGTCTTTTGACTTGGCCAACAGAGAATTGGCCTGTTTCAGAGAGGAGGAGAATGATGTACACATAGCTGGTACTTTAAGAAAACCCAGACTGTCTAGCCAGTCATCCAGTGAGGTGTGTTGTTGAGTCAGTGGGGAGACTTGCAGAAATGGGGCTCATGCAAACAGCAAATTCACTTTCAGCCAGGCAGCTCAGAAATAGCCCACATGCCCTGGATGTCACCCTGCCCACAGTATCTGATAAATAAAATTATGAAGACATGTGTGGAGGTTACTAACTTCAATATTTTAAAGACTTTGAGAAGATAAGAGTTAATTTTTTAAAGAACGAAACTTTAAAACAAGAGCAGGACACCAGGAATAAAGAAAACTTTAGAAAGACTGCACCAACTTGGGTACTACACTTCTCACATTCTGTTTTAGGTTCTGCCAGTGCTAATCTGAAAATAGCTGTGGATACTTAGTATTTTATTTTCTCTTTAATTTCTTCCCTTTATTCCTGAACATGCTTTTTACTTTATTTTTAAGGCCAGTGTTCTAAAATAACTCTATGATCTCTTGAAATAGTTCTCATCACAGAGAGCTTATTGTCCAGATGAACTCCCTATTGTGAAAACATAAACAATCAAAATTGATAGGATTATTTTAGATCAGGGATCTTGAGTCTCTTCTTTATATACAATGAGCTCACCTTGGAAAAGAATGAATTCCCCCCTTTCTAAAAGTGTTTCTTTAAATTTATAATAAATATTTTAAACATTGCATTGGCTAATACACAAAATCCAACATTCTTCTTTTTCCATTTTCAGTTTATATGATTCCTCCTCATTATCCATCCCACCAATCTTACGTTCTTGCTTATCAAATAGGCCTCTTTTCTTTCTCCAGATAAATCACATACTAAATTTTTTCTCATTCCCCTGTGTCCCACAGTCTAGCCCAAAGTCATAAAAGCTTTCTTAGCAATCGTGCCTTTCAAAAAACCTTTTTATTCTAAATTTCTATGCTTTTATGATCCAACACAAGAATTTTGGTCCTGGCCAATAGACTTCTTTAAAATAATATAATAGCTACCGAATCGTGAGAGCTTTTCATATTGAAAGCATTGTTCAGATGCTAAGCAAACATTATTTAATCCTCCAGCAATCATGAAGTGAATGTGACCGACACTAGAAGAGACAGAGACTGAGGTCCTCTGCAGGAATCTGAGATGAACCTTTGTTTTTCACTGTGGAAATCCCCATTCTCTATCACTGTTACATCATTCATGGTACCCAGCAGAAAATAGGGTGTGTGAGCATTCATTTAAAAATTAGTGACTGACTTGATATCAGTGTGAAATAACAATTGTACCTGGATACAAATACTCTCATATTAATTCACAATAGCCTTGAAATCTGGAAAGAGATAAGAAAGAACAAACTGAAATTCTCTACATAATCGCATTTCCATGACATCTGAGGAATTGCCAAGCCAGTTAATATTTGGATTGCCTTGTATTTCTATTGTTAGCCTATATTTCAGATAAAACTTTTACACTAGTTTTGAACTCCACCTTTCATTGTTGGAAAGAATCCAGAGGAGTGCAAGTTGAGAGACAAAAACAGAAATGATGAGAAGATAATTGCATACTCAGTGACACCAGAACAATTCCTCCAAGACCTGATATAGTGAGAAGGATGGCATGAATCATAAGGTAAAAAACAGCTTCGGAGTTAAGCAGCTAACCACAGAAAAATGCGTGTAAGCCAAGTAGCCCATGAGTGAGACACCAAATCCACAAATGCACAGCATAAATTTTTTTTTAAACACTTACCTGTGAATGATAGATAGTAATTGCGAAAATGAGATCACATAAAGTCCTAACTCTGTGACCAGGCTGGCAAGATGCTCACTGTGCCAAGAGTAAAAAAATAAATAAATAAATAAAATAAAATAAAATAAAAGGAGTGGGCAATTACATATTCCAGATGAATATGCAATTTACTGACTAGCCCCCCAAAAATTTCCTTGCCCAATTTAAGTCCAGAGGTATTTTTCAGTACTATAATAGTATAAAAACAAAGCAAAATAAAATACAATTTCTTGCTTTCATTCATTCTTTTCTCTCCTCCACCAATGCTGGGAGGGAATGTGAGCACGGCAGAGGTGTGCCCTGTCTGCAGAGGGAGGTGTTCTGTGAACCTGTTCTACATAAGCTTTTCCAGGTAGACTAAGACTTTCATGCAATGTAAGAAACTCAATCATTTGACTTTCTTTTATATTTCATCTGAAGCTTTGAGTTTATTTTAAAAAATGCATGAATAATGAAAGATTTATACTTTAATCAGAAAAAGAACACAACTTACTATCCTGATCAGCATAGCAACTGCTGTCATAGAATATCCCTCCCAAACTCCATCTTTACCAACCCAGCGCCATTAAACAATGACATTTCCCCTCAAAAAATGTTTTAAAATATTGTTCAGTCACATTTTCTAAAGCTTTTGTTTTTTAGTTTGGTCAAAGTTTGTACTTGTAACAGGTAGTTTTATGTCATGTTAAAAATTGTACCAAAAGGGCATTCCAAAGTATTGGAAAGCTACTAATACTGGTTATATAGCTTTGTATGGCGAATTTAATAAAAAGGGAATTATTTTATTCAAAAGGAAAATGAGTCTGTGAATTTGCCAATATTACAATATACACACAGTATTGTAAGTGTAAATTGTCAGTTTAATTAAAACTGAACAAAACTTGCTTGAATAGTATTTGTCCCTGATAATGAATTTTCTTTAGCTACTCACTCTACACATAACAAAGATGACAAGAAATAGTAAATAAATACACATTATAATTAGTTCTAAACTACAGTAATTTTCAGTTTTAATTCCACTTTTATGTAGACAATTTAGTTCTTTGATTTACAAATAATTCTGCATAAGGCAATTCTTTAGATACACTTTACACCGAAAAGAATAACCAGTATGTGTGTTTTTGGAGAAAATTATATATGACATTTTGTGTAGAAAGACAAATCAGGTTTTATCAAATTCATTTTGAAAGATATAAAATATGTGCAACTAAAGTTTGGGGATTTTTTTAGTTTGAAATTAACATGAGAAGATTTTAAAGGCACATAATTTCTTGAGGAAATAAGTTCAAAATTACTGTTTCTAAAAATAATTTCTAGTATAAACATGAAAGTTTCTACTTCATATATAAATTATATTGATAAAGTTTATTTATAATAGTCTGAAAGTTGATGCATAAAAAATTGGAAAAATATGCTAAATTTGATATTATTAGAACGAAAATCTAGAGAAAAGGGAGACTCTTAAATACCACTTTGTACTTATTTCTTGATTCATGAAATTATTAGTTATCCCATGTGGTAGTGGCTCAATAAATATTTTAACATTTATTTCAAGCTGATTGTTAAACAATCTGAAAAAAAACAATATCTACACTGTAATTTTATTTGTGTGAATAAAGGTCAAAGCTAGGCTATATTTATTTTTATGCATAAATGAACAAGTGATGAAATAATAACCCTAAATAGTAACCCCTGGGTTTCTTTATAATTCTCTTACTTAAACCACCCCAAGGGCACTCTAATCCATAACAAAACAGAGTAGAAATTCAAAGACAACTGTTGACCAAAGTTCAACACAGAAAGATCTCAGTCCCTGCTTGAAAAGTCAATTCTGCCCACAGGGTCTAGTTAGATGGGTTTAGTCAGAAAGAGTGAGAAGACAAGAGTCTGCAAATATAAAGGAAGAAGACTTTCCTTGTGACCTAGAAGTGAAGTGGAAGAACTTGGGCTGCACTTCTGCTAGTGGCAAAAGAGAC